GAAACCAGTTCAGAAAGGAAGTTAGTGTTTTCAAATTCTATTTTCTGAAAATCAGCTACATTGTTGCAGTTGTCCCAGGTACATATTTGCTTTTGGTCTGTCAATAAAATCAAGGAGAAAAGCTCATCTGTGCACAGATCCTGTGTGGATTCTAATTAATGGACTGCTGCCTATATAAAACTCTTTTTTTCTGTTAGCATTTTGGTTAAATGTGGACTGTTTCTGTCCATTCTTTGAAGGATACCAAAATCCAAAGTATAGTTTCTTAGTGAAATCATCAGCATTATTTTAACACAGTAATCAAAGCTAATCTGTTCTGAAGAGAAGACTTCTAATTTAGTTCTGTTGACTTTATGCATTTTGGTGGCCAGGTTTCGGTGGAACAGCATGTCTCGATTGGAGAAGGTCTATCTGAAGAACAGTGTCATGGAGCTGATTGCAAATGTAAGGAATGGTTGGTTGGAAGTCCTGTGTTTCCGAGGTAGTTTAGACAAAGTGTAACTTTTCCAATGTAGCATTTGTGTAAAAATTCACTGCTTCTACATAGGTCAAACAGCATGCTTTATATAATATTAAATGTTACCTTCAAGATAAAAAGAACCACCATCACTAGAAATCACAGTTCATCACGTTTCTCTTACTGGATTTAATTAATCCCTTATGTGTTGGCTTCTGTTTTTAAAATTATGAAGACAGGGCAGACAGATTAAACATTTTCAGCAAATGAGTGAGAGTCTTAGATTAATCAATTCTAAATTAGATTACACTTTGCTATTTGTTTCCTTTTATTCTAAAGTGAATTACTTTATGATATTAGCAATAAAAAATATGCTGAATGAGTTTGATTCAGGAGTTAGAATATGACTTTGAACATGTTTAGAATCCATAGCCTTTTATGTTCTGTTTCACAAAGGGCATAAAAATGGGAATTCACACCCCTTTACGTCCCCAAAGTCTAGTGTTGTTAATAGAAAAAAAAAATTCCCTTCAAAATTATTAACTTAGCTAGCTAAGGATTTGTATTTTATTAATTCTGGGGAAACTTGATAGAAGTCATAATTCATTAGTCTTGATATCAAACTTCAGAAGAGAGTCCCAGTAATGGTCTTTCTGTATCTTCTAATACTAGAACTATTGGTAAAATATTCAGTTGCTCCTTATTGTCCCACTTTATCAGCCTCTCCATGTGTTCCTTATTTCCATACTTTTCCACCCTGGCCCTCTTACAAAATGAAAACAATCAATATGAGAGTCTCTTCAGTTTGTAAAGGAGAAGAGCAGTGATGTCTTCCTTGCTCCATGAGACAGCCATTTTATTAGCTGATGCAACCCTCTGTTAAGCTTTAAGTGGGAAGGATGATTAGTGAGAATTCAGGACAGGTGACTCAGATATGGAGAACAGGTTTGTTTATTCTGTTTAGTTTAAAAGTAGGCCTGCTCATGAGTTTCGTACACTTTTACAGCCCAATTTTTTCCCTTGAATTCAGTCTTGCAGACCTCTTAATATCTCTTATTCTTTTTCAGGGAACACTGAACATTTTGGAAGAGGAGAACCATATTAAAGATGTTCTGTCTCGAATTGTAGTAGAAATGATCAAGCGGGAGTGGCCACAGCACTGGCCTGACATGCTAATAGAATTGGACATTCTTTCCAAACAAGGGGTATGTAGTACAGCTGTATCAATTCAGGGTTTTTTTTGATTTTTTTTTTTTGTTTTTTTTGCGGTACGCGGGCCTCTCACTGTTGTGGCCTCTGCCGTTGCGGAGCACAGGCTCTGGACGCGCAGGCTCAGCGGCCATGGCTCACGGGCCTAGCCGCTCCGCGGCATGTGGGATCTTCCCGGACCGGGGCACGAACCCGTGTCCCCTGCATCGGCAGGCAGACTCTCAACCACTGTGCCACCAGGGAAGCCCCAATTCAGGTTTTTGTTTTTGTTTGCTCTTCAGGGTGTTTTTGGTTGGTTGGTTTGTCTTGTCAGCAGAAAAGAGCCTTTGGTCATATTTATAATGAAAAACATATTTCAGTTTCATTTAAGTACCTTCTCTCTATTGGTATAGGAAACACAGACAGAATTAGTGATGTTCATCCTTTTGCGACTGGCAGAGGACGTAGTGACCTTTCAGACGTTACCCCCTCAAAGACGAAGGGATATCCAGCAAACGTTAACCCAGAACATGGAAAGAATCTTCACTTTTCTACTTAACACACTTCAAGAAAATGTAAACAAGTACCAACAAGTGGTAAGGGATAAATACCACCTCCCTAAAGTTCTGTTTTCTAATATGAGTGGGTTTGTTTGTTTTTTAAAGTTAATCCTTTAGCAAGAAACTAGGGTGTTCAGTTTAGTAAACGGAACGGCTATTTTATAAGCAAAAAAGAAACAAAGATGACAGGAAAAACTGGAATTAATTTTCTAAGAAGCTCAATTCAGTGAGTTTCCATACCTACCAGAAAAAAATAATTCCTTTTATAGTAAGAAAATTCCTAAGAAAATAGTATAAAAATGAAGATTAATTTCTTTTTTTGTTGTTTAATTTATTTTTAAAATTTTGGCCATGCCGTGCAGCTTGTGCGATCTCAGTTCCCTGACCAAGGATTGAACCCGGGTCATGGCAGTGAAAGCACCGAATCCTAACCACTAGACCACCAAGGAACTCCCTGTAGGTTAATTCTTAATATTTGAAACCCAGATTCCTGATAGGTCAGGATAGTATCCCTGTTAAATTTCCATGTCCCATTTAGTCTTGGTCCCTTTTGCAGTGGAAACTGTGCCAAGTTTTATTAATCTTGATTACATGATTCCTGGTATTTCTTCCTGATGAGGTTTTTCTTCTGCAGAAAAAGGCAAACCAGATACTGTCTTTCCAATCATTGTCAGTTTTAGCAGAGAGCCTTTAGAAGAAGGCTGTGTGAAAGGTAATCTAGTACCATGGTTCTCAAAAGGAGGGGCGATTTTGCCCCCCAGGTTGTCACAACTAGGGGTTGCTACTGGCCTCTAATGGGTAGCCAGGCACGATGCTAAACATTCTATAATGCCCAGAACAATCTTCCAAAATAATTTTCTGACCCAAAATGTCAATAGTATTGAGGTTTCAGAACCCTAATCTGGAATCCTCATACATGCTTATTTCACATACAAAAAATCATTAAAATTTGGGTTGCCAGGGGTTTTCTGCCCCTGACATCTTCCTTAAGTCTATTTTCAGGGAAGCACTAGATACTAACACAGATGATGACAAGGTACTATTGGTGTCAGGGTAGGGAGAAACTCACAATGAATACCTAATATATGCTATATACTTTTTCTTTTTTTTTTTTAACATCTTTATTGGAGTATAATTGCTTTACAATGGTTATATACTTTTTCTTGCTTTACATGTTATTTAATCCTCAAAACAACCCTAAGAGTCAGAAAGTATTGTCTCCATATTATGGATGAGGAAACTGAATTTCAGAGAATAATTATTGAAGATCCTCTAATAAATGATTATAGTGGAATTCACACCCCATTCTTTTTAGCAGAATGGACTCTGTCCCCCCACATATCTCCCTGGGATTTTACAAAAGAAAATATCAAAGTATTTGCATTTAAAAACCTATGTGTATTGAGGGTGAAAGAGGTTGGGTTTTTTTTTTGGCCGCGTTGGGTCTTCGTTGCTGCACGGGCTTTCTCTAGTTGCGGCGAGTGGGGGCTACTCTTTGTTGCGGTGCACGGGCTTCTTATTGCGGTGGCTTCTCTTGTTGCAAAGCATGGGCTCTAGGCGTGCGGACCTCAGTAGTTGTGGCTTGCGGGCTCTAGAGTGCAGGCTCAGTAGTTGTGGCGCCCGGGCTTAGTTGCTCCGCGGCATGTGGGATCTTCCCGGACCAGGGCTTGAACCCGTGTCCCCTGCACTGGCAGGCAGATTCTTAACCACTGAGCCACCAGGGAAGTCCAAAGAGGTATTCTTTCCATTTTCCCCTAGGAGATTTAATCCCTAAGAGACATGAACAAATTATGAATGCTTCAGTGCCCTAGAAATCTAGCCAACATGCCAGAGCAGGGCCGATTGATGATGGTCTGACACAAGTTAGAAATACATCCGCTGGTGTTTTTCTTTAGCCTTGGTGTCCATTATCTCCATCTGTTAAACCAGGCTACCAGGACCAGAGCACACCAAGGGACATCTCTTGTACCTGAAACTTCTCAGTTTCCTCATAGTTCCTTCTCTGCTTCCATCCCTTCACCTTCCCACCTAGGGAGTAGGCTGAATGGTAAACAAGGATGGGATGAGTAGGCTTACTCTCCCTGTCCATCACCTGGCGCCTGTACTGGTCCCAGGGGGCAGGAGGATAGGATCCGAATGGGAATGCAGGATTTGTTGGAGGAGATGGTGAAGGCTGGACTTGGCTGTTGTTGCCTGGATCCCTTTCCTTCTTGGGCAGCATCAGTAGATGCTGGTGAGAGGGTTCTACTCATCTCTGCCCCATTAACACCGCTCTTTGACCACTGATGGTGAGGGCTTAATACTTGTTCTTTGTTAGAAAAATTACTTTTTGAAAGTCGAGAAAAGGAATTGTAAAACAAATCCTTTATGATGCTAATGGTGGTAAGTTTTTAAGTACATCAGGAGTTGTTATTCCTGCTTGTAAAATTATAAATTGTATAATTTACTGAACAGACATTATTTTGGTCTACTTAGCATTTAATATTTTTGTGTTTGTGGTTTTCCTACAGTTATGTCCCTACATACACGGTCATAAATTGTACTCATTTTAATTTTGTTTCTTGCTTTTTTCCATTAACATTACATCATTTCAGTATACCTTTGCTAGTTATAATTTGTCTCTATTTTAATATAGAAAAAATACTAATACTTTGATTTAAACTATATTTCTTTCATCACTAGCAATGTTGAGCCTGCTTCATTGTTCATCTGTTAGTTGTATTTCTTTGTAAACTGTGTGCGTTGAAACTGTCTTTGTGGATCTTAATGTTCTAGTAGATTTTGTCATATTGCTGAAACTAAAATAACCCGTCCTTCTTTGGGAGAATATCAGTTTTGTATTCTTAGTAAAGTTGTATTCTTTTCCAAGATTAAAAGTTGAGTATTGGAAAATCATTGTTCAAGGGCCTAGATTATGGGGGTGGAAAGTTATTACATAGCCTTTTGCTCTTTAAAAACATTTAGATCCTTATACTTCTTTTCTTTCAGAAGACAGATAATTCTCAGGAGTCAAAGGTAAGAGCTCTTGGTGGAGTTGGAAGGAGGCTTCTTTGAGGCTTTCAGGTACAGGGATGCATATATCTAGTGGAGGGTGACCTCGGCCTTGGTTTTTTTTCGTTTTGCTTCTTTTTTTGGCTGTGCCGTGCGGCTTGTAGGAGCTTTAGTTCCCCGACCAGGGATCAGACCCATGCTCTCAGCAGTGAAAGCAAGAAGTCCTATCACAGGACCGCCAGGGAATTCCCTCAGCCTTGGTTTATTTGATCACTGAGCTATGGTGGAAGGGAGTTAAAATGATAATATCTGAGATTTGTTGAAGGATGTAAAATGGCCACACATGCCAGTATAGTTGTACTGATGGGCATCAAGAATGCCATCATTTGATAAGTGTGTGTATCAGAAGAAAACCTTTGAGTTGCCTATCAGTAACAGTTGCATGAGTACATTTTATTGTTTGTTTTTCTTTTTAGAATTAGAAAGTAGAAGCAGCTCGGGTATAATCACAGCTTTCTTGTCTGTTAGTGAGGACTTAATGGCTAAAAGTTACTTCTTTTCATGCAGGCCCAAGCAAACTGTCGAGTAGGAATTGCAGCACTGAATACTCTAGCGGGCTACATTGACTGGGTGTCCATGAGTCACATTACTGCTGAAAACTGTAAACTCCTGGAGATGCTGTGCCTGCTTCTGAACGAACAGGAACTTCAGCTGGGAGCAGCTGAGTGTCTTCTCATTGCAGTCAGCAGGAAAGTAAGTTACCACTTCACACTGACTTTGACAGTCTCTGAGTGATGCATATGTGTGTTTAATTCTATGTTGTGGTGAAAGACATTTAAAGGTTTGGGTTTTTTTGTTTGTTTTTTTGTTTTACTTGATATCAACTTAATTACCTGCCTCCAACCTTTTGGACAACAGTTTGCCGATATCCTAGGAATCCATTGTCAGGATATATAGAGATTTGTAGGACTACTTGGTTCTTGAAAGAGCTGTGAATCTTGGTACTTCATGCTTAAACTATATAAGCGTAATGTTAAAGTTTAAAACTCACATCGTGTTACGTCAAAGAATTGTAGAAGGTGACTCTACTGGCTTTGTAGCTGTCTTGGCTAACAAATGGGATTGTGACTCTTCTCCATAAGAATGTTATTTTCAGATGTAATTTATTTTGCTTTCATATCATCATTATTGCCCAACACATTTTAAAATGTAAGTCTTATCTAGGTTTGGATTTAAAGAGTTTTTTTTCAGTGTTCAGTTAGCCCCAGGGCTATGTGAGAAATTAGGAAGTCAGTATATTTGATTTTATAGGTATAGAAGTTGTTAGTACTTGGAGGTTTTTAATAACATAGTTATTACCTGTGTTTCCCTAAAATCGGGTCTAGGGCAAGTTGGAAGACCGGAAGCCCTTGATGGTCTTATTTGGAGATGTTGCCATGCATTATATACTCTCCGCTGCGCAGTGAGTATCTTCTTTTCTATGTGTTTTCTAATTTCTTTGTCATTTTTGTATCTCATTTGGATGTATCTGAAGTTCCTGTTTGACTGTTGGCAGTCAGTTGACTGTGTTTTTAATAGGAAAGTCAGGCACTCTTAAAGGGACTTTTTCACCTTTTTGAAGATCTTATGCTGGAAATAAGTTGTGGCTGTTGACTCAGCATCCACTCACATTCACAGTTTTCCACATTCTCCCCAGACAGCTCATCTCCTTGCTTCTCTTTGTCTGCTTTTTATGATCCCTGAGCCTTCTAGTAGCCTTGGTGACTAGGCCAGAGAATGCTCTGATCTGACCAGAGTATGTCCCAGGGCCTTCCTTAATTGCAGAACTCGAGACACTCCTCCCTCTCTCCTTGTCAAAGTAATCAATGCCTGAAGTGCTGAAGCTCTAGGAAGCAGCAGGAACAATGTGGTCAGTGTGGAATATGTGTATAAATCCTGTAAAAACATTCTATGTCCTGAAATAGTGGCTTCTGCTTATTTTCTTCTAATCGCTCTGAAAAATGTTAAAGCATTTCCTGATATGTTTTTCTTACCAGGGAGTCAGGTAGAACTGTGTATTACAGTAGTTGAAACTGTCACAGCACCCATTTTTCTTCAATACTCTTTCTTCACTTTTGGTGCCAGGGACAAATGAAAAGATGTGAGACACAGATATATTACTTAAAATTTCTTACTGTCCATTCTAACATAGCTTTTATGATGGCTCTTTCCTATGGATACTACAGGTCTGTTTTTAAGGAGTCCTGTTAATTAAATTAATAACATATCTTTTGGGTGGCCACTGTAGTTACTGTTTTCAGGGCCCATTTCTTAGTTCCCTAGAGACTATGACATTCACACTGAGGTGTCCTATCTCCATTTGTGCTACTGGTACTGGTTAGTAAAGCTGTGATTCAAACTCAGACTTCAGAGCCTGCACTAGAAACCATGATGCCACGCTGTCCTTCAACATCACTAGAGCCTAGGTCTTTCTTACCCTGAGGCCCATGCTTTTTATGTTATACTGCACGCCTCCAGAACACGCTAATATGGCTGCTGTCCACACCAGTCCTTATTAATTCTTTTTTTTTTTTTTTTTTTTGCGGTACATGGGCCTCTCACTGTTGTGGCCTCTCCCGCTGCGGAGCACAGGCTCCGGGCGCGCAGGCTCAGCGGCCATGGCTCACGGGGCCCAGCCGCTCTGCGGCATGTGGAATCTTCCTGGACCGGGGCACGAACCCGCCTCCCCTGCATCAGCAGGCGGACTCTCAACCACTGCGCCACCAGGGAAGCCCCCTTATTAATTCTTGTTAGTGTAAATCGTCCTACATCATTGTAGGTCAGGTTTTTCCACCAAATAATCTTTTTTTTAATTTAAAGGGGTATTTGCATTCTAAAATAGCACATAAGTGATTACTGATCTGAACTAAATGACTTGGAGAAATGAGATACCAAGTTACGTTTTTAATACCATCTTTAAAAAAAGATTTTGTTTTTTTAGAGCAGATTAAGGTTCACAGCAAAATTCAGGGGAAGGTACAGAGATTTCCCATATATTCCCTGCCCCTACGCATGCATAGCCTCCCCCATTGTAGCCATCCCCTGTCAGAGTGGTACATTTGTTAGAGCTGTTGAACTTACATTGACACATCATAATCATCCAAAGGCCATAGTTTACCTTAGGGTTAACCTTGCTGTTATACATTTTATGGGTACGTTCTCTGAGTTTCAACAAACGTGTAATAACATATATTCATCATAATAGTATCTTACAGGTTTTTCACTGCCCTAGAAATGCTCTGTGCTCTGCCTGTTTATCCCTCCTCTCCCACCCAAACTCCTGGCAACCACTGATCTTTTTACTTTCTCCATAGTTTTGCCTTTTCCAGAATGTTGTATAGTTGTAATCATATAGTATGTAACCTTTTCAGATTGTTTCCTTTCACTTAGTATCATGCATTTATAGTTCCTACACATCTTTTCATGGCTTGGTTAGCTCATTCCTTTTTACCACTGAATAATATTCTGTTGTCTGGATGTACCAAAGTTTATTTATCCATTCACTTACTGAAGGACGTCTTGGTTGCTTCCAGATTTTTGCAGTTATGAATAAAACTGCTATAAACATCCATGTGTAGGTTTTCGTATGTTCAGCTCCTTTGGGTAATTACCAAGGAGTGTGATTACTAAATCATATGGTAAGAGTATGTTTAGTTTTGTAAGAAACTGTCAAACTGTCTTCCAAAGGGGCTGTACCATTTTGCATTCCCACCAACAATGAATGAGAGTTCCTATTGCTCCACATCCTCACCAGCATTTGGTGTTGTCAGTGTTCTGGATTTTGGCTATTCTAATAGGTGTATAGTGCTATCTCGTTTTAATTTGCAATTCCCTGATGACATTTGATGTGGAGCTTGTTTTCATATGTTTATTTCCCATCTGTGTGTCTTCATTAGTGAGGTGTCTATTAAGGTCTTTGGCCCATTTTTTAATCAGATTTTTTTCTTATTGAGTTTTAAGAGTTCTTGTATATCTTGGATAACAGTCTTTTATCAGATGTGTCTTTTGCAAATATTTTCTCCTAGTCTGCCACTTGTCTTTTCATTCTCTTGATTATAGTCCTTTTGATTTTGTCAGTGGTGTAAGGAATTACTGCATGCTCCCCTAGAGATCTCTCTAAGTCCTTCCTCAGTATCAACCAATGTCTTTTTGTGCAGTTTTTATGCGTATAAGTATATATATTGCTTTGTGGAGTCATGCTCAGAGTTTACAATATTATCCCAAAGTACTCAAGGACTGCATTACCCCAAATTAGTGTGTCTCTTGAAGGATGAGATGGCATTGAACCCTATTCCTCATCGATCTTTCAGTGTTTGGTTGGAGGTTTTTGGGTTGGTTTGTTTTTTGATTTTTTTTTTTAACTTTAATAATCAACTGAAATTTGAATGTTGGAGCACAGACCACATACAGCTCCATTCCATGGGACTCTCTTTGGTGCTCTTGATGTGCTGCTAATCACACTGTTTTCTCCTCTTCAGGACTGCTGACGGAGGAGGCTTGGTAGAAAAACACTATGTCTTCCTGAAAAGACTCTGTCAGGTGTTGTGTGCGCTGGGCAATCAGCTGTGTGCATTGCTGGTGAGCACTTTCTGGAGAGTTTCAGGGCCATTTGAGGAGAGGATTTAGAAAGTTATATTTGTGTAAGGGGTGACACATGCCGTTGATTTTAGCCTGAGGGGGCATTTCCCTACAGATTATTTCTTATAATTCTGTAGATTAAATTATTTTAATTGAGTTTGAATGATATAGATTTTTTTTAACAAATCAATTATTAATGTCAATAGTAAACATTCACATCTGTTATTCCATCTGTTATAACATCTGACTAAAGTCAATGTTGCTACTCCTGTTCATTTTGGTACTTGTAAAACTTCAGTCTGCCGAGTGCATTACCCTTTAAAGTCCTGTTAGGTCATGAAACATTATGGATTTGAATAAAGAACACTTTTCCCAAATCTAAAGGATGTATTATTAGATCATAAAAGAAAACTTTAGTCTGATTGACCTGGAATTAACTGTCTTTAGGGAAATGTTTAATACTCAGTCTTATGTGTTAAAAGGATATTGGTACAGACATTTGCGCTTGATGTTATGCCTTTTTGTGGTGGCTTGAATGGCTAGAGAGGATGGAACTTCAGACATAAGATGTGTACCGTCAAGTGGTTATTTACTAGGTTAGGTCACAGAGATGTGATTAGAGTAGATCTGAAGAAATATATGGATTTCTGAAATCAATATTCTTGTTTTACTATTTGACCACAGAATAGGTTTTAATGATGATGGTTAGGGAGGTAAAACAGCTTTCCTGTGTTTTAGCCCTTGAAATGATGCCTTCCTTAGGCCACAAGGAAGTATAAAGTCCTTTCAAACCTGAAATTTTTGAGGGTATAAGTTGTCAGTATTTGTTACTCCACTCTCTACCCTGACCTCCCCATCAACATCGTTAATGTAGTGGTCTTTTTGTCCTACAGGGTGTGGATTCTGATGTAGAAACACCAGCAAACTTTGGAAAATACCTGGAATCTTTTCTGGCTTTCACAACTCATCCAAGTCAGGTAAACTTTATGGAGGTGACTTCTCAAAATTTTAGTTAGGTAAATTAAAATCAAGCACTATGGCCTGAAGTAATTAGCAGCTGAAGTATAAAATGTGACTCTTAAGATCCTAGGGAATAACTGTAGTAGCATTTCATTAAGAAAATTGCTGAGTCTTCTTCCTGAGCTAAGCATTACAGTCTAGGTCAGCAGTTACCCCTCAGATAAGGCTTAATCAGATATGAGGTATGTCCCAGGTGATTTACCACTAAAGACGTTTTAAATACAAAGTCTGATTAATTGTGTTATTATAAAATTAATTTTATCCAGTCCAAGATTTTCCTTGTAATATCATCCTGAGGTTCCTATATCATTTCTTGCATAAAACAGAAAGTGGTAGAATTCAGCTCATACTCCGGGAATTGCACGTGACCCAGTCTGTCTTATTAACATACGGTCCATAGTGAGCAGTCATTACTGCTGTACTACAGTATGGGCAGTTTCAAAGTATTACAGATATTTATTTCCATGGAAAAATATAGTGGATAATTGCTGAGCTAAGTAATAGTCTTGGTATATAAAACCCAAATCCTTAAACTGAGTTTTTTCTTTTTTCCCTTTAGTTTTTGCGCTCTTCAACTCAGATGACTTGGGGAGCCCTCTTCCGGCATGAGATCCTATCCCGTGACCCTTTGCTATTAGCAATAATACCAAAATATCTTCGTGCTTCTATGACTAACTTGGTCAAGGTATGCAGTGGGAATGTAAAACGTGGAATGTCGGGGAATACACATCATAAGACTTAGATGGCATCATTGACAGCCCTGTCTTGGTCACTAAGATCCTTTCCTTGGGCATATTAGTCTTATATTCCTCAAGAAGAAATATCTACTCTTTCATATTTTGGAGCACTTATATGCCAAGCATTGGGCTAAGTGCTAGGAAAAAGAGTGATAGGATGAGAGCAGTGACCATGACCATACAATATGATCATTGCTTTTCAGAGGTTAAAAATAGAAAGGATGGTGGAGTCAGGGAGATTCCAAGAGGAAGTAATGTCTGACTTTCTGAAGGCCAAGTGAGGGTCAGGAAGGTGAATGAGAAGGGGAGAATGGAAGCAGATTGCTCATTACCTCAATAGAGGGTTGCTTATGAACACTGAGATCTGTTCAAGGCTCTTGCAGCTGACAGATGCTTCATCTTGATTTGTAAAATCAGAGAATAGGACCCATTCAAGGGTCCCCTTATTTCCTCAAGGAATTCACCTAGCACGTTGCACACCATCCTCTAGTTCTCTGCCGTCATGGTCCAGTACTTTTTGAATGAAACATAAAAAGTTACATGCTTATTTCCAGGGTTCAGCATTTAAGAAGACAAATTGTTTCAATTCTTTTACTTATTGCAAGCTGTATCAGCACTTTGTTTTGGGACATCTTTATAATCAAAGACCTTAAACTAATTCCAGAATTTAATTTTTCCTGAGGAACCTGGAAGAGAGTATCAAATAAAAAACGTTCTCTTTCTACCACTCCCAGGATTATTCCTGCTGGAAGCAAATTGTAGACTTAGGGGTAGACCAGAAGCAGTTATTTATCATCATATATCTCATGAAAACCCTCACCCCGTACCCCAATTATGTTTCTCTTTCCAGATGGGCTTTCCTTCTAAAACAGACAGCCCTAGCTGTGAATACTCTCGATTTGATTTTGATAGCGACGAGGACTTCAATGCTTTCTTCAACTGTGAGTGAATTGGCCTGGAATTTCTTCCAGTCTCAGAATGGCATCTAGTGTTATGAGTCATGGTGCATGGCCCTTCAGGTTCTGTATTAAAGAGCCCCAAGTCTGGACAGCAGCCTGTTTAATCTCCATTTGCACATTGCAGAGAGTGCTGGGATTGTACTTATTCCACACATTGTTTTATCTCTTACAAACACACCCCCACAAACATATACACACATACACCGCCTTTGGACATTGAAGTTTAGAGATAGTAACTTAAGGTAAGGCACTCTCATTTTTTTTTATATTCATATATTAGAATTAAATACCATCTTACATTATGGGTCTTTTTTCTAAAAACGAGAGGAAAACCCCACTATTCCTAATTCTGTTCTGGGTTTTCTGTAACTTGGTCCCCCCCCCCTTTTTTAATAACAACTTTATTGATGTAATTTCTTTGTCATACAGTTCATTCATTTGTAGCATATAATACAGTGGGGTTTTTTTGTATTTTCAGAGTTGTACAACCACAACCACAGTCAATGTTAGGATATCTTCATGACCCCAAGAAACCCTGTAACCATTAGCAGTCATCTCCCAATCCCCTTATCCCTCTCAGCCCTGGAAAAGCACTAATCTACTTTCTATTTCTATCTTTCACCTATTCCGAACATTTCATATAAATGGAATCATACAGTGTGTTGTCTTTGGTAACTGCCTTCTTTTTCTTAGCGTAGTGTTTTAAAAATTCGTCCACGTTGTAGTATGTATCAGTACTTCATTTCTTTTTATTGCCAATAATACTTCATTGTATGGATATACCACATTTTATTCATCTATTGATAAGTTGATAAATACTTGAGTTGTTTCCACATCTTGACTATTAAGAATAATGCTATTATAACATTTGGGTACAAGATTTTTTGTTATTTTTTTAAAATAAATTTATTTACTTATTATTTATTTTGGCTGTGTTGGGTCTTTGTTTCTGTTCACGGGCTTTCTCTAGTTGCAGCAAGCGGGGGCTACTCTTCATTGTGGTATGCGGGCTTCTCATTGCGGTGGCTTCTTTTGTTGTGGAGCGCAGGCTTCAGTAGTTGTGGCTCACGGGCTGTAGAGTGCAGGCTCAGTAGGTTTGGTGCACGGGCTTAGCCGCTCCGCAGCACGTGGGATCTTCCCGGAGCAGGGCTCGAACCCATGTCCCCTGCATCGGCAGGCGGACTCTCAACCACTGCGCCACCAGGGAAGCCCAGTACAAGTTTTTGAGTGGACGTATGTTTTTATTTTTCTTGCGCATATGCCTAGGAAGAGAATTACTAGATCATATGGTAATTCCATGTTTAATGTTTTGAGGAGCTGCCAGACCATTTTCTTCAGCAGCCATACCATTTTACATCTGTACCAGCCTGATCTCCTTTTAATTCCAACAGAAAGGGGAGACCACTTTTGGTTTGCCGCTTATAGCGTCTAGCTGGTATGGTGGCTTCTTAGAATTTAGTTTTGAAAATTGCTAGATTTGTTAACAAAGCTTTACTGAACATTTGTTAGATTCAGAGCATAAGTCTGCAAAACAAAATCTCTTGAATGTTTTCCTCCTGGGATGGATAAATGAATAAACATTAACTAAGTATCTGTTATATGCGGTTATTGATTCATGTCTTTCTCTTGGCAGCCTCTCGGGCTCAACAAGGAGAAGTAATGAGGTTAGCATGTCGCTTGGATCCCAAGACTAGCTTCCAGATGGCTGGGGAGTGGCTAAAGTATCAACTCTCAACTTCTGTTGATACTGGATCCATGAACTGTAAGACTTCTTTTGTTCTTTTTCCAACTGAACATTAGTGAAGTATTTCTATGTATCAAAACTGTACGTAGAAATAAACCTCTGAGCCACATTTCAAAACAGTATGCTAATAGTGTTCAAAAACCGCTTTGCTCACTGCCCAGTTCCATCCTAGAGAGTGAGCCTTTTCATTTGCACATACAGGCAGAGAAAGCAGATATAATACAAGATTTTAACTCTGTTTAAATTAGGGTAAAACCATGACCCTATCGGTTTTGCCTTCATTTTTCTTTTCTAACAGAGTCAACAATTGTTTATTGTTGATTTTATTACTTCACCTCAGGCAGCATCTAACAAACATGTCTAGACCTAACTTTTTAAAGCTGTTCAACCAAGTTCTTGCATGGCATTTCTCTTAAACTCGGAAAAAATGACTTGTTAGTCGGGCACAACAAGCAGTGCAGGGGTTTCCCATATCGCTCAGCCCCCTCAGAGCCTTTGGGAAATGCCACTTTATTTAAAATCAAAATAACCCCCCTCTACCCAAAAGCATAAGCTAGGTAACTTCTCAGTGCTCTGTATCTTCTGTCTGTCATCTTATTAACGCAGGCAGTGGGTGAGAGGATTGTAAGGAAAGGGTGTAAGTCACTGCTTTGGAAAAAGTCCATACTATGGTCAGTTACCAAGTACACTAGTTACTTGACATTCATGGGATTTAACATTCAGTTTTATGTGTTCACAGTTGACTGTAAAGTTCCCTGGTATCTAGTAACTTGAAGGTTTGCAGAGGCCCAAATATGTTGTACCAAGATGAAGCTAGTAAATGTGGGCACTGTATGGAAGCAAGAAAAGTAATTTGTAATTCGTTTCGCGGGGGCCTTGCTGTCTAAGCGACGGGCTTTGATGATACTTGTGGGGCTTTTTCTTTTCTTTGTTTTCATATTTTGGTCGCGCCATGTGGCTTGCGGGATCTCAGTTCCCTGACCAGGGATCGAACCTGGGTCATGGCAGTGACAGCACCAAATCCTAACCACTAGGCCACCAGGGAACTTGATGATACTTGTGAACTTGGAGGGTGGCACAGTTCTCTGCACAGGGCCCTTGCAGTTGTCATGAGGCTACTGGGTGTGAACAGCATTTTGTATCTTACAGCAATTCCTTGTTGGAAAGATTCTTTATGGTCTTAGATATCATAATTATTTAGATTCCCATGGACAGATTATGAAAGGGGGGGGAAATTAATTAATATTTCTCAGTTGGCCAGGCACTGGTTTTGATGCTTACATGTATATTCTCATTCAGTACTTAAACTGGCTTTACAGACAAGGCTCACAAAGGTGAATTTAGACAGTTTGTTTTTAGAGGTAGAGGCAGGATAGGGATCCCTTTCTGCTTCCTTTTCTTTTCCCAGGCTGAGAAGGGTTAGATTACCTTGTTCCTTCAACTGTGAAATTACCTAGTGGTTTCTACAGCCCCGTGGTCTCTGTGTCTTCTGTGATCCTACAGTGTTTATAAGTGCGTGCGTGCGTGCGTGTGTGTGTGTGTGTGTGTTTTTTAAAACCCTGTTCCCCTGCAGCTGGAACTGGAGAAGGCAGCCTCTGCTCCATCTTCTCACCTTCATTTGTGCAGTGGGAAGCCATGACCTTTTTTTTGGAAAGTGTGATCAACCAGATGTTTCGAACATTAGATAAAGAAGTAAGTAATTGTTTATTGTGCTGATTGCATAACAATTTTGATCTTTTTAAAATTATTATTCATTTATTTATTTGATTGCGCCAGGTCTTAGTTGCAGCAGGCGGGCTCCATAGTTGCGGCTCGCCGGTTTCTTAGTTGTGGCATGTGAACTCTTGGTAGCAGCATGCATCTGGGATCTAGTTCCCTGAACAGGGGTCGAACCTGGGCCCCCTGCATTGGGAGCGCAGAGTCTTAACCACTGTGCCACCAGGGAAGTCCCCAGTTTTGATCTTCTTAAAATTGGCAGTGGGATAGGAAAATATGTGAGTGTGCATCTTACAGAAGAGGAAACTGAGATTCAGAGAGGGTAAATAACATGCTCAAGGTCAAATAGCTAATAATTAGAGCTGGGACCCAAATTAGGTCTCTCTGACTTTAAGCCCCGCGGTGTTTAGTATTCGTTTTAGGGGATAATAAGATGAGCCTGATAGTACAGTGAACCACAGGTAGGGTAACTATTATAGGGAGGACAGTGATGGAAGCCTTGAATTGGAAAATCTAAGAGATACCTGCCAATTGATGGCAAATTGACCAGAATATTCATGATGGCTGATCTGTGTCCCTCTTTCCTGAATAATCTGATTAAACCAGATAACAGCATATACTATATTAACTGTGTTAATTAGATTAAAAATAATTGGATCACTTATTTTGGGGTAATTCGTCTTAACTCATTCTAGGTTAGTTGTAGAAAGAATCTAAGTCCCTTGAAGATAAGTGAAATACAGTGCTTTTTCTCATAAATGGCTTATTAACAAATTAGATCTTAGGATCATTAACTCCATCTGTTTTTATATTCACTTCAGTTTGAAATGATGGCATTCTGAGTTTGTTCAATTTCTAGTCGTAGGTAATGCTACATCCCTAATAATGGCAGCATCATTTGTGAAAAATTTTAATAACATGGGGTAATGCTTAGAATTTTAAGGGTTAAGAAGCACTATATAAAACCATATGTGACAACCATATTTATATAGAGTGTGAAGGAAATTTAGCAAAAGTGGTTTTCAGTTATGTCAACCTTCTTTTCATGTCTGTATCACAGGAAATTCCTATTAATGATGGAGTAGAGCTATTGCAGATGGTCCTGAACTTTGACACCAAGGATCCCCTCATCCTGTCCTGTGTCCTCACTAATGTCTCAGCACTCTTTCCATTTGTCACCTACAGACCAGAGTTCCTGCCCCAGGTCTTCTCTAAGGTAAACTCCCTCTCCTTTGTAAACTTTATTTTGGCATTTCTAAGCTAATTATTTTTTGTAACTGTTCTTGTAAGTATATGAGACAAGCTAATAAACAGTTCTTTATTCATTTATCAGATATTTACTCAGTACTTAATGTGGAGCAGGCACCATGCTAGTAGGAATGCCTTGTCCTTTACTACCTCTCTGTTTGGGGAGAAAGGCACATAGACAGATGCGGTACCTACGTGGCATTGCAGTTAGTAGACATGTACACTGAGATGGAAAAGAGTACCTGAAGGAGGAGGTATCAATGTGTGCTGTCAGGTTGGGAGGTGATTTGTAAGAGGAAAGGTTTTGGAGTCCAGTTGAGGTGACTAGTGAGAGGTGAAGCACCACCTGAGTGAGAATATTGGACCAGGAGAGGGAAGGAGTAAGGCAGAGAAGGGGTGAGTTCTGTTTTGCAGGACTAGGTTTGAAGTATACATATAATATCTCAGTGGAGACATCTCGTGCTAAACTGGCTATTGGAGGTTAAAGGTCTAGATTCAGAAAATTACGAGAGAAAATTAAGGCATCGCCATCATAGAAATGCCAATAGTAGAGGTGAAGCCCTAGCAAAAAGGAGTTTTATGTAGCGTTGGACATGTAGCTCAAGCAGAGAAGCCCTCAAAGAACAAGAAACGGGATGGCCAGAGAGATGGAGAAAATGTTGTGTTACAAAGTCCAGGAGAACTTCAAAAATGTGGACTCATTTGTTGCCACAGAAATTCTTTAAGAATTGGAGAGTGTCCATTGGGTTCCTCTAGACCTTTGTCAGCGTGTTATTCCATCATAGTGGCTAGGGCAGCAGTCACATTGCATTGGGTTAAGGAGTAAGTGGGAAGTTATGAAATGGAATCAGGGAGAGTAGACCACTCAACTTTTAACAAAAAGTGGGGAGATGTGACCATGGCTGAGTTCTTGGGTGATAGCCTAGATTGTTCTGGGATTCTGTGGCCTTTATCTTCGTAAAGTGTTTGCTGGTAAAATCGTGAATCTCAAGCCTCTTGCAGTTATCCGAGAAAATGAACATCTGAAACTTTGTAATGCCAGTTGAAAACCTTTTTGTTACCGTATTGTTTGCACTTTAGGGATTTTGTTAGAAACTTTGTAAAATACTTTATGCATTTGGTACTGATGAGTGACCTTTTTTCTTCCCCTTAGCTATTTTCATCTGTCACTTTTGAAACTGTTGAGGAAAGTAAGGTAAGATCATTAATTCAGCCTACCAATTCTAACTTCTTAAGAACAAAAATGTGAATACCCAACACTTAGTGTAGATTTTTCTAATACGCAAACGGGGTTAATAAAGGCAGGAGATAGTCATATGATGGGCTGTTTTGCACTAGAGATACTCTAGGACAAACAGTCAACATGTGGATTCTTGCTAACTATAAATATCACTTGATTATACTCCCCTAGCTGTGAAAATTGTGAATTTACCTCTGAAGGAGATATTTACATGATTCTCTGCAGCATCTGTTAGTTATATTAAAAGCAGCTTTAAGTTTATCGAATATCTCTTCCCAGGCACCCAGGACCCGGGCGGTGAGGAATGTGAGGAGACATGCTTGTTCCTCCATCATCAAGATGTGTCGTGACTACCCCCAGCTCGTGCTGGTAAGCCCTGGACTCTGTTCAGGTAGCCACTGAGACATGCCGAGTTTGGGTACATTTCTCTATAAATCCACACCTAATTATACCTCACATAAGATTGGTCTTCCCCAACTCCAGAGTTACTCAGTGAAGTTTAGAAATGCAAATATATTGCCTCAGAATGAATTTTTCTCTTCCACATGGATGACCACGTTTTCCCTGTCAGTGTACACCTCTTTACCGTGCTATGTGTGTTGTTCTTAACCACCACTGCCAAGTGATGTGCCTAGTCTTGAGAGAAGCCAGCTGCAAACCCCAACCTTTTTTGGAGGGTTTCTGTAAGAAGTTTAGCACTACTCCAGATAACAAATTAACCAAAGATTTCTTCTCTGAATACACAGCAGTTATTTGTGTGTGTCTGTCTGTCTCTCTCCCCATCTCCCTCCTTTTCTCTCTCTCTCTCTATAAAATATATATACATAAGTATATATGTATAGAAAACAAACTGATCTTTGTCCATGAAGGTACTGTAAAAGTTGATATAGAAATAAAAGACAGATGTTTTTCACAGTTGGAGAGTCGGAAAGCGCAGTGACCCAAATACTCAAACCTAAATTGCCTTTGCCTGTTCAGCCACAAGAAGAGTGTTGTAATTAAATTATTAAGTGACAGTCTTATTGGCCTGACTGTCCTGGAAGTGTCTTCATCCTCTTTTTTACCTTCCTTGAGTGACCCACCACGCCTTGAAACTCAGACCTTCACCACCTCTGGGTTTTTTTCTTTGTGAAATGCAGCCCAATTTTGACATGCTGTATAACCATGTGAAGCAGCTCCTCTCCAATGAGCTGCTCCTGACACAGATGGAGAAGTGTGCCCTCATGGAAGCCCTGGTTCTCATTAGTAACCAGTTCAAGAACTACGAGCGTCAGAAGGTGTTTCTGGAGGAGCTGATGGCACCCGTGGCCAGCATCTGGCTTTCTGAAGACATGCACAGGTAAGGGAGATCCTCTGCCCTTGACCTTGACTGCACTTGAGTACCCATTCTCTTCTAAGACTATGTCCGGGGTCGGGGTGTAAGGATATCGAGGTGTAGTGGCACTATCAGTGACAGCTGAAGGCCTCTAAAGCCGGGGTCCCCACCCCCCCGGGCCACAGACCGGTACTGGTCCGCTGCCTGTTAGCAACTGGGCTGCACAGCAGGAGGTGAGCAGCAGAGGAGAGCTTCATCACCGCTCCGCATCGCTCGCATTACCGCCTGAACCATCCCCCATACGCCCCCGACCCCGGGTCTGTGGAAAAATTGTCTTCCACGAAACCAGTCCCTGTGGTGCCAAAGAGGTGGCACCGCTGCTCTAAAAGCAGTCTTGTAAGTGAAGTGCCGAAAACATCACCTTGCTCTGCAGAGGCGTAGGAACAGAGACGAAATGACTAAGATGGATAGTGTGGGTTGGAACGCCAGAGTGAGGTCTGCTGTGGTGTCTAGTTGCAGCTTCAGCACATGTAAAGAAGTGAGAACAGCCAGTAGGGCCGTACAAAGTAGGAGCTGCACAGACACCCCTCTGTGCCCACACAGCCTTCTCAAGCTCGTACCCTTTTTGATTCTTAAAGTGTCACTAATAACATTTAGAAGTGGGAAGAGAAGTTAATAAATCTTCATATGACAGCTGACAGTTTGATTAGATTCCTCTCACTGTAACAACTGCTCTTTGGGGGTCAAATAATCACAGCTTATTAGCTCTTGAGGAAGAAACTATCCTTGCTTAAAATCATGCTGTAACTTGTCTTTCCCCCACCAACCTTTAGAGTGCTGTCAGATGTTGATGCTTTTATTGCCTATGTGGGTGCAGATCGGACAAGCTGTGACCCAGGCCTGGAGGATCCCTGTGGCTTAAACCGTGCACGAGTGAGTAAGCCTCTCCTGGGATAGGGAGGGTGCGTAGGCCACAGGTAGGAGTAGGGTGTTGTCATTTGTCCAGGTTCTCGTAGACTTACGTTTTTTTGTGTACGAGCAAGAAATCTGGGAGTCTCCACTTCCGTTAGTGTCTCCTTTCTTTTCTTCTTTAGTCTTAAATTCTTGAGTTAGTTCTCACAGCAGAGCAGGTGGTCTTTTCTATGAAATCATTATTTTGGCTTTAAGGATCTGTAAATAGCTTGGAGGACTGAAGGTGTAATGAGGAAGTAGGTCAGAACTTGGTCAGCAGGGTGGGTTCTCCCTGCCTTTGCTCTCTGGGAAGTAAAGTCCTAAATGGTGGCCTAACTTGCAAACCTGAGATTTTCCAGTTCTTTGCTTGCTATTCAAATAAGCATTGTTCCTGGCTCCATAACGGCAAAAGTCTTATTAATTAACCTGGCAAGTAGTCAATTGGTAGAAAGTACTATGAGTGAGGATTAGGGCAAAATCTTTGAAGGCCCAAACAACTCAAAAACAAGATGAAATGTTGGCAGTATGGCAAATTTTGAAGTATGTCCAAGCCACCTTCTAATTGGGGTCCTGTAAGCCTCTGGAAGGATATCCTCATGAAAGGGAAGCTTTTAGAGCCTACCACTGGTCCTGAAGATGGCATTGAAAGGATCCCTTTTGGACTTGACCTTAAAGGAAGGGACAGGGGTGGGGGGGGGGGGGGGGGCGTCTTTTCCTTTTGTCCAACTTCTATGTCATCTTTGCCATAATCTTGCAAATATCTAATAGCACTTTTGTCTTTTCTTCCCCTTTTATATTTACCTTTCATTTTTATGTTTTTCTGTAGATGAGCTTTTGTGTGTATAGCATTCTGGGTGTTGTGAAACGAACTTGCTGGCCCACTGACCTAGAAGAGGCCAAAGCTGGGGGATTTGTGGTGGGTTATACACCGCCTGGAAATCCAATCTTCCGTAACCCCTGCACAGAACAGATTCTGAAACTTCTTGACAATTTGCTTGCCCTTATAAGGTGAGTCAGAATAATGGTTTTTCTCTGTTGTATTTTTGCCTTAAAAATCTCAAAAGCTTAATCTGTTTATACTTCTTCAGATCATATGGTGGTAAATAAGAGATTAGGTCTTGTTTCGTTCTAGAGGGACTCTCCTTTTTAAAAGTAACATGGACTCTCACTTTTTTTGTTGTTGTTGTTATTATTTTATTTATTTTTGGCTGCGTTGGGTCTTCGTTTCTGTGCGCGGGCTCTCTCTAGTTGTGGCAAGCGGGGGCTACTCTTCGTTGCGGTGCGCAGGCTTCTCATTGCGGTGGCTTCTTGTTGCAGAGCATGGGCTCTAGGTGCACAGGCTTCAGTAGTTGTGGCTCACAGACTCTAGAGCATGGGCTCAGTAGTTGTGGCACATTGGCTTAGTTGCTTAGTGGGATATTCCCAGACAGGGCTCGAACCCGAGCCAATGTCCCCTGCATTGGCAGGCGGATCCTTAACCACTGTGCCACCAGGGAAGCACCGGCTCTCACTTTTATAAGTCTTGCATCCCAAGTGAGCACGTGGGGGCTAATCTCAAAATGGCTTTTCTCATTTTGAGCCTCCTCTGTGTTCTTTTACTTCTTTATACTTCATTTCTACTTTTTACTTTGTTTCATTTGGTCTAAAGTTTTGCCACTAAAGGAATTGTTCATTGGGAGCAGGGCAGTTGCTTTCTGTAGTGGTGCTTTTCTGGGTCAGGTATTCAGACGAGCTAATCTGAATTTATCGGTAGTGACTGTGTTCTCAAATGGACCAAACATCCAGTGGCTGAACATGCCAAAGGAAGGCATGATACGTGCTGCACATCAGAGTCCTAGGTTTTTACTTCTCAAAGCTGAGTCCTCAGACCAGCAGCATCAGCAGTCACCTGAGAGCTTGTTTAAAATGCAGTATTAGGGCTTCACCCCAGACATACTAAATCGGAATCTGCATTTTAACAAGATCCCCAGGTTGTTTGTGTGCACATTAAAGGTTCAGAACCACTGTTATACATCACATGAGCTAATATAATCAAGCGGAAGTAGGCCAAGTCTAGGCTTGTTGGTTACTCACTATATGTTTGATGATTCAGGGATAGATGCTGTCTACAGTGAAAGAAAGCCTTTGGAGAGAATCAGTTTTTTACTGGCCAAAGCAAAATTTGATTGCTTTTTACATCTCCTAGTGTTTCTGAGTTCAGGTTAGAGCTCTGCTCCACTGTTTTTTGGCCTCTTACCCAGGGTGTTAGAGCGGAGTCTCAACTGAGTAAACCAAATTTACTCAACATAAGTAAATCAAATTGCTCTTGTCTCAGGGATGCTCTGCTGACAACAGACACCCTGGACCATATGCTTAAGAATCCAAGGTTTTAAGTTAATGTTGACCAAATTGGAGGGCTGGAGTGTCTGAACAAGTTGTCATTGTGGACATGTCTATGGAAATAGACAATACTTTGCTCTGATTTCAAAAGGAGGAAAAAGATTTGAAAAAGAAGTATGGGTTACATGTTGAGAGGGTAGTAAAATATTTAGTCAAGGAAAAGTTTGTCTCCATGTTGATGTTTTTAAGACCAAAAGGATCTTCTGTAGTTTAGAGAAATGTGAAAGTGATGAAGTCAGATAGCAACAGACTCACTGACTTTTTAGGCCTGTGGCCAGAGTCCCTGTGGTGGGAACCTAGACCTGGAAACAAGGTTCATCCCTGGTTAGGTGAGGAGACAAGAGATTGTCATCTTGATATTTTCCTAAGAGTACAACACTTTTGGAAAATCCCAGAGTCAATCGAAAGGTATTTTGAAAAATGCTGACCGTAGTTAATGGAGTAGTTAGATTCCCTGAGTAGTGTGCAGCTGGAGCTGTTAGAGTTTTGTCTGGTTTTCGTAGTAAGTTTTATCTTGAAGTATAGTGTTAGGGGTACAAATATACATAAGAAAAGGACACAAATTGTGAGTGCAGGTAGATGAATTTTGACAAAGTGTAATCACTCCATGTAATCAGCATCCAGGTCAAGAAACGACCTTGCCAGCACGTCTTTTCAGTCCTGCGCGCCCCCCAAGGGTAACCACTATTCTAACTTACCTTCCCAGCACCTCTTTTCAGTCCTGCGCGCCCCTCAGGGGTAACCACTCTTCTAACTTTAACATTTTGCCTGGTTTTTTGAGCTTTAATAAATGGAGTCAAAAGCATGCACTCTTTTGTGCCTTGGCTTCTCTTGTGTAATATTATGTTTGTGAGCTCATCCGTGTTATTGCATGTAGTTGTGGCTTGTTCATTCTCATTGGTGGGATGGTATTCCATTGTGTGAGTATGCTGTAACTCATTTATCCATTTAGTGTTGATGGACTTTTGGTAGTTTCCAGCATTTTTTTATCACTACGAGTGCTGCTGTTAACATTCTTACAAATGTTTTTTGGTGTATGCATGATTTCTGTTGGGTAGGAGCAGAATCCTACATGTAGGAGTAGAATTCCTGTTTATAAGGTATGCATATTTTCAGTTTTCATAGATAGAATCAAATAGTTTTCTAAAGTGGTGTACTAGTTTACATTCCTACCAGTTTGTGTATTAACTCCTTGTTATAAAACTCCTGTTTTAACTCCTTGTCAAACAAAGTCTGATAATCGAAGGTGTTAGAGCTGTACTGTCTAGTATGGTAGCCACTAGCCACATGTGGCTGGCTACTGAGCGCTTGAAATATGGCTAGTCTGAATTGAGATAAACTGTAGGTGTAAAACACACACTATATTTTGAAAACTTAGTACAAAAAATGTAAAAATGTCTCTAATTTTTATATTGCTAACATATTGAAATGATTTTTTGATGTGTTGGGTTAAATAAAAAGATAATTTAACCTGTTTCTTTTCACTTTTTAAGTTTGGCTGGTTAGAAAATTTTAAATGGCTTATGTGACTTACATTTTATTTCTATTGCACGGTGTGTTCTTAGTGGGTTAGGGTGGAAGATAGTTGTGGGGAGCAGAATTCTCTGGTTCTCAGAAGGTTCATTATTATCATTCATTATCTGTTTAGAATAACACCTTTTCTGTTAACTTAAAGTTTGTTACATTGTTTCCAGATATCTTCTATATGTTTTATTGAAATCTTTGTATGTGGGAAGTCTTGTTTAGCATAGCGATTATACTTTTTTTTTTTGGTTTGATATATGTATATATTGTGAAATGATTACCACAGTAGGTTTAGTTAACACCCATCAGGTCACATAGTTACACATATTTTTTCTTGTGATGAGAACTTTTAAGATCTCTCTTAGCAACTTTCAAATACACAATACAGTATTAACTATAGTCAGTGTGCTGTATATATTACATCTCCAGAACTTACTTACCTTTTTAACTGAAGTCTGTACCTTTGACCGCCTTCGCCCATTTCCCCCACCCTCATCTCCCTCCTCGGGCAACCATCAAACTGTTCTGTTTCTATGAGTTTGTTTTTTTTGATTCAACGTACAAGTAAGATCATACTGTATTTGTCTTTCAGTGTCTGATGTGTTTCACTTAGCATAATGCCCTCAAGGTCCATCACATTATCACAAATAGCAAGATTTTCTCCTCTGTTATGGCTGAATAATATATACCTGTGTGTATGGCAATTACACTCTTAGTTTGTGATACTAAGAATATTTCAGATAGGTACAGACTGCAGAACTTAAAACTTTTATCACTTGATTGTCTTTTTCTTTGCCAATGCAATAACTAGTTCCTCTTAATGTGGAATCATAGTGCTCTAACTTGCAAGTGTGTCAGGAAAGGTGATATTTCAGGAACCTGAATGTTACTAGGGCTTGTAGGACTCCCTGGAGCCATAGATACGAGAGCAGTATGTACTGAGTCCTTCCATTACTTGTGAGTTACAGGTGCAGCCACCATGGTGCCACCTCCTTGGCGAAGGGGAGGAGGAGGAGAGGAGACTATACAGAATACAAGATTTTGTTGTACCATCAGGGACATTTGACATATGATGTGTTATATTTTTTAAATTATATCTTGGGATCACAGTCACACTTAATTAAAGAATAAAAATAAAAAACATCTCATCTGTTCCCCATCAAATTTAAGACTATGAATTTCTTTTCAAGAAGAACTGATTTGGGGTTTCCCTGATGATGCAGTGGATAAGAATCTGCCTGCCAGTGCAGAGGACACGGGTTCGATCCCTGGTCCGGGAAGATCCCACGTGCTGCGGAGCAACTAAGCCTGTGCACCACAACTACTGAGCCTGAGCTCTAGAGCCCGTGAGCCACAACTACTGAAGCCTGCGTGCCTAGAGCCCGTGCTGCACAACAAGAGAGGCCACCGCAATGAGAAGCCCGCGCACCACAATGAAGAGTAGCCCCCGCTCGCAGCAACTAGATGAATCCTGCATGCAGCAACGAAGACCCAACACAGCCAGTAAATAAATAAATAAATAAATAGGAAAAAAGCTCTATTTTAAAAAAAAAAGGACTGATTTTATCAGAGATCATTTCATAGTATTAGACATGTTCCCAAACAACCAAGAAAAACTTAATTCAGAAACTAAAAAGTTGGCAAATTGCAGTTTTTAAAAGTAAATGGCACCACTTACCAACTCTTGAGCTCCACACAGCAGGAGGTAAGGGCTAAGGCAGAGTTATGGATAGCCTCACAGAATACAAGCAGATTGAATCCAACAGCATGTTATAAGGATTATACACTATGACCAAGTGGGATTTATCTCAAGGATATAAGAGTGGTTCAACATACAAAAATAAATCAGCATAGTACACCGTATTAATAGAACAAAGGAAAAAAACCCACTTGACCATCTTAATTGACACAGAAAAAGCATTTGACAGAATCCAGCACCCTCTCATGATAAAAACACTCAGCAAACTAGGACTAGAAGGGAGTTCAAAAACTACTCCTGCTAATAAATAAATTCAACGAAGTTATAGGATACAAGATCATCATACAAAAATCAGTTGTGTTCTTATACACCAGCAATGAATGATCCCAAAAGGAAATTAAGAAAA